ACTCAGCAAACTCTTCCCTAAACCCCTGTGCAACCTGACCATAGTCTGATGTCTCAAAGACTTAGAATCTGGCAAAACCAAAAACTTCCCTTCCTCGGAAAAGTCCAACTACTGAATTAAAGAGTTAATACTGCACAAAAAGCAGCATCGTTATTAACTAAATCTGAGAACTGCCGTGAACATGAGAACTGTCAATTCTCAAGGTATGCAAAAGGCTTTGCTCTTATCCAGACTCCAAATCTAACATGATAAATGATGGAAGAATATAAATGTTAAAATGTTCGCCTCCAAATGAAGTTTTCCAGTCTTATCTAAGTGAAACTGCTGTAATTTTCCATCAAAATATTGTCAGAACAGCTACACACTTACAAAATATTTCATTCCCAACATCAACTTTTTTTTTTTTCTCTGCTGGAAAACTGGATCCCCTCTCTATGCAAGAATTTTAGGAGCTTAAAATAACCCACCTTGTGTGTGTGCACAGTCCATGAAGTACARAAAGCTCTGTAGCACAGGGCAATCTTTTCAGGGGGCAGATCTTTGGGACACAACAAGGACTTTGAAGGTYCCTTCCATCCCAAATGCGATGTTTTCAGGGACAAAAAGGGGAGTGTTATGAGTTGAGAGAAGAGTTTTATCCCCATGAGTAGGAAGCACACCACRAAAAGTGCTTTGCATTCATGCAAACTGGAGATTACACTGAAMAAAGCCTCTTGCAATGTCCTGGGATATAAATCCTGAATGATTAAGGTTGGAAAATATCTCTGAGATCAAGTCCAACCACCAACCCAGCACATCTGCACCTTTCTTGAACACTTCCAGGGATGGAGACCCCACCATTTSCTTGGCAAATCCCTCCATGAAGAAATTTTTGCCTAATATCCAACCTGAACCTGCACTGGCACAACTTGAGGCCATTTCCTCTCMTYTCAGTTCTGCTCACTGTGGACAYTCWCCTGCCTGGCCAGCACTCACCCAGGCCARTTCTGCTACAACAAACCCCACAAAATCACACAGGTGCTCCACAACCCTTCCTGGTGGTGGTTTGCCTGTCAAAAAACACTGGCATGGAGGTGAGATGTCCCAAAAAATCAGTGCAGACATAAACTCAGCACCTCTACGAGCTCTTGCCACCAGCTTTTAATCTTCATCAAGCCTGGAAATGAGAGGAGAGCTCAGGTGCTCCACTCTGATGGGATTTCTACAGTCAGGACCAGTAAGGAGAGTAAGAGATGGATTTGTAGAGCTTTACTCCAGTCCTAAGTGCTGCACAAATCACAGAATTATCCAAAAATTTGGGTTGGGAGRGACCTCARWGATCATCCAGTTCCAACCCCCTGCCATGRACAGASACACCTTCCACCAGACCAACATTCCCAAAACCCCATCCAAYCTGTCCTTAACCAAGTTTTAAAGCTTGACTGACTTTAGAAAGCCTTTTACAAACTGGGAAGCAGCAAAGACAACATGAGCCAAACTCAAATGAGACAACCAAAGAGTGAAAGGCTTTGCTGCTCATCCTCAGGCTCCTGCTCTGCTTCCTTCCCACCTCCAAAAATCCCACCTCCAAAAGAAATGTTGCAAGAAAACACCACCACAAGCCTCACACGCAGCTTTGCATTTCCTTTTGCCCTCATTCTCTGTTAGCACTGCTACTCTGCAGGTGTAGCACCCCAGGCATTGCCCTACCAAGACAGGCAGGGCATAAAGCTTAAGACAAAAAGACAGTCCCAAAATGCTTGTCTGAGTTCCTTAATTTAAGAGGTTTTAATCTTTCATGATGGTCAAGCAGCAGTTGTGCCGAAGCAGGGCAGGAGGCTGCCTCTGTCGAGTGGAAATAGCAGGGGAAATCAAACACAAACCTGAACTCCAGCTTTTGAGCTGGATCTGAACAGCTCCATCACRGTTTAGGGATGTCTGTCTCCCAAATTGATTCAAAACACAGCATTTTTTGCCTCCAGCTTCACCGAAATCAAGGAAAACTGCTTCCTTTCCCAACACCACAAGCAACTCTCAGGTCCCAGCCCAGGCAAACTGTCCTTGGCCAGCCTGAATCAGCAGCAACAGTGGCCCCAAAAGCCTTTTATAGGTTTTTTTTCACTGAAAAGGAGCTGTGCCCATACCAGGGTAACAAATATTTCAAGCTGCCAGGGCCAAAGGCTCCAGAAGGGAGATTTATAGCAATAAATAATATTAATGACACAGGCGGACGAAGCTTCTTGTCCTGAGAGCTCCAAAGGCACATGAAAAACTGCGCTATAAATGTCACCACCGCAGACACCAACRATGACGAGATGCCACCTCTGGGGACAGGAGGCAACGTGGGCTTGCTCAGAATGAGATTTGGGGAGGAAAGMGAGGGAATGAGGAGCTGGATGAACACATGAAAAAGCTCACAGGCCAGGTAGAGGCAGGAGATGGGTCCCAGCTGGTTGAGCCTGGAGGATGCTCCACATCATTATCAAACCCTTGGAGTGGCTTAGTCAGGGGACTCAGGAGATACCCAAGCCCCAATTTCCCCMCYAGCACAGCCAAAGGACTCATCCTGRTCATCATGAGCAGACTCAAGGCTGGGAAAAAAATGAGTTGGGAAAGCATAACACAACCAGCAGCCAGAGGAGTTGGAAAGAGGTCGAAAGAAGCAATTTTAGGCCTAAACCCCAAAGGAGCAGCTGTGAGTTTAGTTGCAGATGTAATAAAACATGCCTGGGGGAAGGAAGCTRTATCCTCCTGCAGCCAAGCCCACTCTCAAATGCAGATATACTTKCATGGATTATAAAGGGCTGAAACCCACCCTGTGTTATCCAGATAACACCCAAACATCTGGAGCTGAAGGAGCAGCAGCATCTGGCCATGTCAAATTAACCATTTTTTTCCCAGGCTGCTTAATTAAATCATACCAAGAACTGTGTCAACATAAAGCCTGCATTAGAGAAACTTCTCTTTTAGCCAAGGCAAAGATTCCCTTTGCTTTTCCCACCCTGCCTGATCCTCTGCTCACTTCCAGAAGAYGGATCAGCAGAGGAGCTTCACCCGCAGCTTTGCCTCGGAAGCTTCCCTGCAGCAGAAATCCCAGTTTATTTTCCCCAACCACACAACCTCCCTWAACTTTGTCAGGATATCTCGGAGTCCTTCCCATGCAGGACAAGGATCACCCATCAATCACAACCTCTGGAGCCAGACCTTTGAGCTGCTGGAGCTTGGAATGAGGGGTAAAATCACAGGGCAGGGGATAAATCCCAACCTGGCTCACCTGAGATCACCCTGCCCACCTTGAGAAGGGTGGATACACTCCTGGAGAGCACTAATCCAGCAGCTGCCTCCCTGCCCACTTGGTTTAGGGTGGGAAGATGAGCAAACAGCCCATGGAAGAAGATGGGCGCGGGGATACCGGGATTGATGCAACCAGCTGCTTCCAGACCCTTTCCAAGAGGGAGAACACTCCCAGTCCTACCTCAGAGCATCCCTCAACCAGAGCATCTCTACCTGAGACMACAAAGTTGGTGCCTCTCTCCAGAGGACCCCAAAAGCTGCTCTTGCCAAGCCCCCAGAGCCCATTTCCCAGCCCTGTGTGGTGGCTGGGCCTGCTCGGGGCCCGGGCAAACACAACCAACACTGTGTCTTTAAAACCACTTCAGTGCAGATGTTGTTTCCATGGTAACTAGTGGACCAAATACATTAGTGTTTCTAATAATAAACCAAACCTTCATCTTGGAAAATGTGATCCCCCCCTCTCCCTTTACCACCCTCACCCTTTCCTTTTCTTCMTTTCCCCCTCCCCTTTTGCCGAATTAAGCCAGAATTTAACAAGCAAGCCATAATTAGTAAATAATTGCAAGGGCCCAGTWACTCCCAGTGCCCAGGCAGACGGAGAAGCTTTAGCTGGAGGAGGGGGTGGCTTTGCTCTGTGAACCCGGGAACTGTCCAAAAAGGGATGAACTACTTAAAGAATAAAAAAGAAGAAA